CCAACCCCCTGCTCAAAAGCAGGACCAATCCCCAATTAAATCATCCCAGCCAGGGCTTTGTCAAGCCTGACCTTAAAAACTTCTAAGGAAGGAGATTCCACCACCTACCTAGGCAACACCAGTATTTCACCACCCTCCTAGTGAAAAAGTTTTTCCTAATATCCAACTTAAACCTCCCCCACTGCAACTTGAGACCATTACTCCTTGTCCTGTCCTCTTCTACCACTGAGAATAGTCTAGAACCATCCCCTCTGGAACCACCTCTCAGGTAGTTGAAAGCAGCTATCAAATCCCCCCTCATTCTTCTCTTCTGCAGACTAAACAATCCCAGTTCCCTCAGCCTCTCCTCATAAGTCATGTGTTCCAGACCCCTAATCATTTTTGTTGCCCTTCGCTGGACTCTTTCCAATTTATCCACATCCTTTTTGTAGTGTGGGGCCCAAAACTGGACACAGTTCTCCAGATGAGGCCTCACTAATGTTGAATAGAGGGGGACGATCACGTCCCTCGATCTGCTCGCTATGCCCCTACTTATACATCCCAAAATGCCATTGGCCTTCTTGGCAACAAGGGCACACTGCTAAACTCATATCCAGCTTCTCGTCCACTGTCACCCCTAGGTCCTTTTCCGCAGAATCTGCTGCCTAGCCATTCGGTCCCTAGTCTGTAGCTGTGCATTGGGTTCTTCCGTCCTAAGTGTAGGACCCTGCACTTATCCTTATTGAACCTCATCAGATTTCTTTTGGCCCAATCCTCCAATTTGTCTAGGTCCCTCTGTATCCTATCCCTGCCCTCCAGCATATCTACCACTCCTCCCAGTTTAGTATCATCCGCAAATTTGCTGAGAGTGCAATCCACACCATCTTCCAGATCATTTATGAAGATATTGAACAAAACCGGCCCCAGGACCGACCCCTGGGGCACTCCACTTGACACCGGCTGCCAACTAGACATGGAGCCATTGATCACTACCCGTTGAGCCCGACAATCTAGCCAACTTTCTACCCACCTTATAGTGCATTCATCCAGCCCGTACTTCTTTAACTTGCTGACAAGAATACTGTGGGAGACCGTGTCAAAAGCTTTGCTAAAGTCAAGAAACAATACATCCACTGCTTTCCCTTCATCCACAGAACCAGTAATCTCATCATAGAAGGCGATTAGATTAGTCAGGCATGACCTTCCCTTGGTGAATCCATGCTGACTGTTCCTGATCACTTTCCTCTCATGTAAGTGCTTCAGGATTGATTCTTTGAGGACCTGCTTCATGATTTTTCCGGGGACTGAGGTGAGGCTGACTGGCCTGTAGTTCCCAGGATCCTCCTTCTTCCCCTTTTTAAAGATTGGCACTACATTAGCCTTTTTCCAGTCATCCGGGACTTCCCCCATTCGCCACGAGTTTTCAAAGATAATGGCCAATGGCTCTGCAATCACAGCCGCCAGTTCCTTTCGCGCACTCGGATGCAACTCGTCCGGCCCCATGGACTTGTGCACGTCCAGCTTTTCTAAATAGTCCCTAACCACCTCTTTCTCCACAGAGGGCTGGCCATCTATTCCCCATGTTGTGATGCCCAGCGCAGCAGTCTGGGAGCTGACCTTGTTAGTGAAGACAGAGGCAAAAAAAGCATTGAGTACATTAGCTTTTTCCACATCCTCTGTCACTTGGTTGCCTCCCTCATTCATTAAGGGGCCCACACTTTCCTTGGTTTTCTTCTTGTTGCCAACATACCTGAAGAAACCCTTCTTGTTACTCTTAACATCTCTGGCTAGCTGCAGCTCCAGGTGCGATTTGGCCCTCCTGATTTCATTCCTACATGCCCAAGCAATATTTTTATACTCTTCCCTGGTCATATGTCCAACCTTCCACTTCTTGTAAGCTTCTTTTTTATGTTTAAGAGCCGCTAGGATTTCACCGTTAAGCCAAGCTGGTCGCCTGCCATATTTACTATTCTTTCGACACATCGGGATGGTTTGTCCCTGTAACCTCAACAGGGATTCCTTGAAATACAGCCAGCTCTCCTGGACTCCTTTCCCCTTCATGTTTGACTCCCTCAGGGAACGGATGGGTAGGATCCCCTGGGGGACTAAGTCTGCTTTTCTGAAGTCCAGGGTCCGTATCCTGCTGCTTACCTTTCTTCCCTGTGTCAGGATCCTGAACTCATGGTCACTGCCTCCCAGATTCCCATCCACTTTTGCTTCCCCTACTAATTCTTCATAGTTGAGCATGTACTGCAGGTGAGAGATCGGATAGCCCAAGTTACGCCCATTGTATGGGAGCACTTGGAGAGAGCACAGGAGACCCAACTAACCCATTATAACCACCAAGCAAAGCTTCGACGGTTCCAACCAGGGGATCAGGTTATGGTACTGGTGCCCACAGCAGAAAGTAAACTGTTGGCCCAGTGGCAGGGACCCCACGAAATAATCGAAGCCATGGGAGAGGTGAACTATAAGGTGTGGCAGCCAGGCCACCGGAAATCGGAGCAAATTTACCACATAAATCTTCTGAAACCTGGGCACGATCGAGAGGCATGCTTAGTCATGCAGGAGACCCTTCCCCAGGAGGATAATTTACACGAGCAAGTGAGGATATCATCCGACTTGACGCCGATCCAAAAGATCAAGGCAGCCGACATGATTAATTGCAACAGAGATGTGTTCTCTACAAAACCAGGGTGGATGACTGAGACCTATCACCATATCCGCACGATCCCCGGACCCAAGGTAACATTGAGACCCTACCGAATCCCAGCAGCCAAAAGAGAAGAAATCAAGGCCGAAGTAAAGAAAATGTTAGAATTAGGGGTTATTGAAGAATCTTACAGTCAGTGGTCCAGTCCCATTGTTCTAGTGCCTAAACCTGACGGTACCATGAGATTCTGTGATGACTTTCGCCGACTGAGTGAAATATCCCAGTTTGATGCATACCCCATACCACGCATCGACGAACTGGTTGACTGACTGGGTAGTGCCCGATTCTTGACTACACTGGATCTGACAAAAGGGTACTGGCAGATTCCTCTGACCAAAGAAGCTAAAGAAAAGACAACATTCACCATCCCAGATGGGCTATTCCAGTACACTGTCCTCCCTTTTGGGCTACATGGGGCCCCAGCCACATTCCAGCACCTCATGGATAAGCTGCTGCGCCCCCATACTAGTTATGCAGCTGCATACCTAGATGATGTCATCATCTATACACTAGACTGGGGAACCCACTTGGAGAAAGTTGAGGCAGTACTAGCGCACCTTAAGGCGGGCTGGCCTCACTGCTAATCCCACTAAATGCTCCATAGGGCTAGCAGAGGCTAGGTACCTGGGATATATTGTGGGAAGGGGCATAGTGAAGCCCCAAACGAATAAGCTAGAGGCAATTCAAAACTGGCCCCAGCCGACCCGAAAGAAGCAGGTCCATGCGTTCCTAAGTGTGGTAGGCTACTACCGATGGTTTATTCCCCACTTTGCCACTAGGGCAAATCCCCTAACGGACCTGTTGAAGGCCCGCGGTCCAGACATGGTAAAGTGGACCGACTCAGTAGAGGGGGCACTTACAGACCTTCGGCTGGCCCTCTGTAATGACCCCATACTCATAGCCCCGGACTTTAACAGGGAATTTATTGTACAAACAGATGCTTCCGAAGTGGGGTTGGGAGCAGTTCTGTCGCAAATGGTGGGAGAAGAGGAACACCCGATCCTCTACCTAAGCAGAAAGCTTCTCCCAAGAGAACAGAAATACGGAGAAGTCGAGAGAGAATGCCTTGCTGTCAAATGGGCTATGGAGACACTGCGTTATTACCTCTTAGGTCAGCGATTTACTCTTGTGACAGACCATGCACCCCTCCAGTGGATGCAGCAGAATAAGGAAAAGAATGCAAGGGTGGTTCTTATCCTTCCAACCATTCCAGTTCTGCATACGGCACAGGGCTGGACCACCATGGCAACACTGATGGTCTGTCACGAGCATACTGCCTGGCATCCCAAGTTGCCCAACTCTATGGTGTTGAGCAGGGGGGGCAATATGTGACGGGGCAAGGCCAGATGGCTATAGAAAAGTAGTGGGAGATAGATATATTAGCTCCAGGCTAAACAAATCCCTGGTACCAGGTTAAGTGAAATGGAAGCTGTTCCAGGTCAATTAAGACACCTGGGGCCAATTAAGAACTTTCCAGAAGGCAGGGAGAATGCTAGGTTGATTGGGACACCTGAAGCCAATTAGGGGCTGGCTGAAACTAGTTAAAAGCCTCCCAGTCAGTCAGGAGGGTGTGCATGTCAGGAGCTGTGGGAGGAAGTTGCGCTGTTGGAGAGGCTGAGTAGTACACACCATATCAGGCACAAGGAAGGAGGCCCTGAGGTAAGGGTGAAGCAGAGCTTGAGGAAGGGAGGGTTGCTGTGGGGGAAGTAGCCCAGGGAATTGTACATGTCATGTTTCTAAAAGGTCAGCTACCATAGCTGATACTATTAGGGTCCCTGGGCTGGAGCCCGAGTAGAGGGTGGGCCCGGGCCCCCCCCCACCTTTGCCCCCTGATTTATCCCTGAGATTGGGAGACAACAGAGACTGTGCAAGGAAGGATAACTTCTCCTCACCTCCCTTGCTGGCTTATGATGAAAACAGCTCAGTAGACTGTGACCCTTGTCTCTAGAGAAAGAAGGGTTACGTGGAGGGTCACAGTGAGCCTCTGAGGCTAGCGAAGTCCGCCGGGAAACACGGGACCCACGGAGGCAAGGACAAAGCTTTGTCACAATATATAACAGTATTGTGTTTCAGTGTACCATTAGATGTTAGTGTCTGTAAATGTCCAGCAAGCCTTTGAGTCTCATAGAGATTTTACAGCATCTGCTGTGATTCTCTTTGGCTGTTCAAACTATTTTAGGCCTATATTTTCCTGGGTCTTCCACACTGAATCTCAGCTAACCTAGTAGTAGAGCCTATGCATGTAGCGTGGGAGTGGAACCTAGGCAACGCATTGGTTTCTATGTATAATGGGTGCTTTATTTTGCAGCCTACTCCAGTGGGGTCCATTCATGTAGATTCCGGGGCATCTGCAATAACTAGAGACAGCCACGCACATAGGGATCGACCGTCACAGCAACATGCTCTTCGAAATCCGGTGCGTTACTTACCACTGTCTTTGCTTTAGCGTATTTCCATAATGCCTCCACCAGCCCCTGTTTGTGTGGAGGGAAAGAGGAGTAAAAACCTCTGGTGAAGTTCATTTCTTAAGAAAATTTAATATGCATAAAGTGAAGGCTTAAAACACTATGTAGTTCACAAAAGTAGGTCAGTGTTTTATTCCTCCCTCCATCCACCTATGGGATGTCCGGAGGCCATTGATGTTGACACCTATCTCACTTCCAGCAAGTAAATTTCCTCTTAATTTAGGAAGGTTATAGTTTGAACTGAATTTTATTTTCTGTAAGTGAGAAAAATTACTGAAATGCTGTTTATCATAATAGAATTGAGGAGGTGCATGACCTAGGTGTATGGATTTAAAAGTCTACAATTTCAAGTGGATCATTTTTCTTCTTGTTTATATATATATATATATATTTTCTAGAAGGTTGCTGGGCTCTGTTTCCAAATTTAAGGATAAAAAGTCAGTCTATGACCTTCTCCATTTTTTTCCTTAATGTCTTTTTCATATTTCATGGCTGTTGAGAGTTTGGATTTTCTATGTTAATGCAGAACATATCAGAAGTTCAGCAGATCACTGGAACTGATAGTTCCTTTTTAGAGCTGTTGGTACTCCATACCTCCCACAGTGAGTGGTTCTCGGCTCACTGGGCCTTTCTCTCCATCTGCATGCTGCTTTTGTTAAAGTCCCTACACCATAGACTGTGTCCTCAGCTATTCCATATTAACTGTTTTGTTGTTGGTGTGGATTTAACAATGCTTATTGCCATAACCTGTCTAGGCTCAGCTTTTCTTGTTCATGCAGCTATCCTCTGAGTGGAAGAACAACAAATTTAGACCAGAAATACTTCTAAAGCTGTGGGTTAACCATAAAACAGGAATGTATTTCCCTCCTGAGAAGTGTTGCTTTTTGGCAGCTGGATTTTTAAAATAGTTGCATGTGAACGTTTATTTTTATGCATGCTTATTAGTGCAAATTGCTGTGTAACAGGGGTTCCATAGTAACCTGCTTTAAAATGTTAGTTAATAAATACACTGTAGTCCCTTCATGCTGAGTTAATCTGGGTGGCAGCTTCTGACTGCCTGCTCCTGCCAACAGACTTTGACACTGTGTGCATACACAAAGTATCTCCTGTTTACTTTTCACTGCCTGGAAGACATTCCTGGTTTAGCTTTCAGGCATATTAGTGCATATATTTCTAGTTCATAACACATCTTTCATGTCCTAATAATGACACTTGAAGATTACTTATTCCTTGTTCTTTTTATTTCCCCCCTAAATAAACCCTGCTAGTATATGGCACAGCAGTGTCCCTAATTCCTGCATAATGCTGAGAATGAACAGCCCATCTCTCAAGGTGTTTGAGGTGTCGTCATCCAAGTATTCGACTGGAAAATAATTAAGCGGTAATTTCTTGCTCTGGAATTCATCTTGTACAAACATAACAGTTCCTCCTCCAAGAGATGATCCTCTTAAATGCTGATCAAACCACTTCTTTGCAAAAAGTCACTTAAAGAAACTTCTAGGGGCATGTGTGTTTGGGTAGAGTGAACCCTTCTGAACTCCAAGAGTGATTGTTTTATTTTTACTCCCCGGCATGCAAGTGAGTCTTTTACCAACCATAGGCACCAAAACCAGGCAGCATGTCGTAGGTCCTGTTCTCTCTGCAGTTTTTCCATTTAAACAGCTACAGTCAATATGCTTATTCTCCAGCAAAGCTGAGTTGCTCTGTGAATCGGTAGGTGGCAAGAGGATGGTCAGAGTTGTTAGGAACTCTTCCTCCAATTCCATGTGTATCATCTCTGCAATGTACCTCATGAGCTCAGGTAGTGAGAATCAAGGCCACTCCTAAACTGGTTCAAGGTGCACTGTGCTGCATAGCCATAACCCAGTGGTCTGGTCCTAATGGCCTCTTCTAAAGAATTTCTTCTGAAAGTAAGAAGATTCTAAGCTCTGAGGCAGGGGTGTGTTTCCCTTAATGTAAGCTACTATTTCAGCTACCTATTTAAGTCCACGCAACTCTATTATAAGGAGCAGCTCTCTGGCATGTCTGTTTTCTCTCCACTTCTTGAATCTAGAGGCCTATGTGATTCTAACAGTACTGTTTCTAACTTTGTCTTTGATTTATAGCAGTGAAATACATTTCAAGGAAAGTGCATCTGTAGTAGTAGTTTTATGTATATCGGGATGGTACTCCTGAAGCAAGTGAGAGTCCAGCCTGACCCGAGAAAGTGGGGGAAGGGATTTAATCAAAGGGAGGTCCTGAAGAGACCTTCCTGGTAAAAATAAGACTTAAGATCTGGATTTGTTGACTTTGTATGATCTGAGGGAGGAGCAGTGTCATTCAATGCTTTGCTAAGGTATTTTAAAGCAGTGGTTCTCAACCAGGGGTCCAGGGCACCCTGGGGGGGCTGTAAGCAGGTTTTGGGGGTCCTCCAAGTGGGTCCAGCATTAGACTTGCTGGGGCCTAAGGCAGAAAGCCAAAGCCCCACCCTACATGGGGCTGAAGCCCAGGGCCCTGAGCCCCGCCACCTGGGGCTGAAGCCAAAGCCTGATCAACTTAGCTTCATCGGGGCCCTGTGCTGTGGGGCCCCAGGCAACTGCCCTGCTTGCTACCCCCTAACACTGGCCCTGGCTTTTATATGCAGAAAACCAGTTGTGGCACAGGTGGGCTGTGGAGTTTTTATATCATGTTGCGGGAGCCCTGAAAGAATAAGGTTGAGAACCCCTGTTCTAAAGGAGATTCCCTTCCCCTGTTATCCTAAATCAGGAAACTAATAGGAGCATATATCTCCTACTGCTACGAGAGAGAGAGAAGGGTGAACCTCTGACTAGAAAGGTGCCGTTGTTAGCGACTATTGCTAGGTGGAAATTAAAACAAGCCAGCACAGACCTAATTGTGCTGAATGTTTTTAAAAGGCAGATGCTGTAGCTTTGAAAACAGAAGTCTGATTAACTCTCTGTTCTGCTTCCTTTTGCAGACTCTGTTTAGTTCTCAGCAAGGTTCAGGATTTCCTAGTTGAAGGGTGGACAAGTTTGCTCAAAGAAAACTTGGCTCCTTTTTTCCTGTGTGTAACTGCCTAATATTCAGACTCTCACCCAGTTTGAACAAGGACATTCAGCCTGTGTGGCTGTGCTCCTCCTCTAGCCAGGATAAGGCTCACCTTCAACAGCTTGAGTAGAGTAATGTTCTGAGGTAGCATGGTGGGGTGAGGAGGCAGGGAACTGGATTGCAATCTTTGATTAGCTATTTCAATCTCATTGCTCATATCTTCTACTTACTTGAAGTAACCCCTACAGTCGTTCATTCTCCCCCCAAATTAAAGCTTGCTAATTTGATACATTTGCATTTTTAGTTTTGTTTGTTCAATATACCTGCTCTCAATCTGGGTGAAAAGTTAATCAGAATCTAAAAATGCTCTTCTTCTGTTTCTAGCTTTCTTTAACATTTGGTTTAAATTTGGCCCATTTGCTTAGATTTAGATGGCTTCCATTGCTACAGCTTTGGAGCAGTTAATATAATCACAAATAGCGACGTATCTATTATGAACTTCAGAGTTCTTGAAAGAGACAGCTGTGCTCATGCGTATTGGGTCTGACCAACAGCACAGCTCTATCTGTTATGTCCTACAGCTCCCCCTGCTACTTCAGTCTTGGAGTAGATAAATTGACCACTTACATTATTGGCCACATCAATTGACCACTTTGGCAATTAGCCACAGCAAGGTGCACATTCCTAGGATATTCGTGAATGTGTTGAGTCACAAATGTGGAATGAACTCACAGGAACAAAGGACCATCACAAACCTCGCCAGCTTTCACTCCAAGCATAGGAGCACTTCTTTGACCGGCCTTCTGATATAAATGCAGAGCAGCATGTTCATTAAAAACACTTCACTAAACACACAGTTCTTCACCTGGGAAGAGGTTGAGGGAGATACCAAACATGAGATGTTAGTCGTGCCATTTAATGAACTGCTGGATGGCACTCAGTTACTGTGGTGGTGAGGTTGCTAAATGAACCTGGATAGAATAGAATAGGCATGTAGATGTAGGTAAAGTGCCTTTAACCCCTGCAAAGTGCAGCAGTATAGCAGTGCACACCCTGGCATGGCTCATTTCCACTGGCTGTTTTTTAAAATCTAGAGACCATTTCAACCATTAAAATGTAATTTTTAAAATCTACTTTTCTGTGAGCTCCAATGTCTGTCTTGAGGTAGACATGTTAATGAATGTTCTTGATGGACTCTATGGACCTTTCTTTTCTTTTTCTGAAAATCACCTCTTTTCCTTGATGGAAGAGGAGTGATGAGGTGTGGCGTCAGGAGCCCCTGAATTACAGAAAATCCTGGTTGATGCTTCACTAAGGGTAGTCTACACTACGAAATTAGGTCAAATTTATAGAAGTCGGTTTTTTAGAAATCGGTTTTATATATTTGAGTGTGTGTGTCCCCACAGAAAATGCTCTAAGTGCATTAAGTGCATTAACTCAGCGGAGTGCTTCCACAGTACCGAGGCAAGCGTCGACTTCCGGAGTGTTGCACTGTGGGTAGCTATCCCACAGTCTCCGCTGCCCATTGGAATTCTGGGTTGAGATTCCAGTGCCTGATTGGGCTAAAACATTGTTGCGCGTGGTTCTGGGTACATATTGTCAGGCCCCTGTTCCCTCCCTCCCTCCCTCCGTGAAAGCAGCAGCAGACAATCGTTTTGCGCCTTTTTTCTTGAGTTACCTGTGCAGACGCCATACCACGGCAAGCATGGAGCCTGCTCAGGTAACCATCACCATATGTCTCCTGGGTGCTGGCAGATGCGGTACTGCATTGCTACACAGCAGCAGCAATCCATTGCCTTGTGGCAGCAGATGGTACAATAGGACTGGTAGCCATCATCGTCATGTCCGAGGTGCTCCTGGCCACGTTGGCCAGGAGCGCCTGGGCAGACATGGGTGCAGGGACTACATTAGAAGTGACTTGACCAGATCATTCTCTTTAGTCCTGCAGTCAGTCCTATTGAACCATCTTATGGTGAGCAGGCAGGCGATACGGATTGCTAGCAGTCCTATTGTACCATCTTCTGCCGAGCAGCCATGAGATGTGGATGGCTTGCAATCCTTCTGCACTGTCTGCTCCCAGCCAAAGATGTAAAAGATAGATGGAGTGGATCAAAACAAGAAATAGACCAGATTTGTTTTGTACTCATTTGCTTCCCCCCCTCCCCCGTCTAGGGGACTCATTCCTCTAGGTCACACTGCAGTCACTCACAGAGAAGGTGCAGCAAGATAAATCTAGCAATGTATCAATCAGAGGCCAGACCAACCTGCTTGTTCCAATAAGAACAATTACTTAGGTGCACCATTCCTTATTGGAACCCTCCGTGAAGTCCTGCCTGAAATACTCATTGATGTAAAGCCACCCCCTTTGTTGATTTTAATTCCCTGTAAGCCAACCCTGTAAGCCATGTTGTCAGTCGCGCCTCCCTCCATCAGAGCAACGGCAGACAATCGTTCCGCGCCTTTTTCTGTGCGGACGCCGTACCAAGGCAAGCATGGAGGCCGCTCAGCTCACTTTGGCAATTAGGAGCACATTAAATACCACACGCATTATCCAGCAGTATATGCAGCACCAGAA